CCTTTCTTGGAGATGATTCAAGCCCCGCCTGGACAAGGTCCTCTGCGGCCTGCTGTAGGTGACCCTGCTTCGGCAGGAGGGTTGGACTAGATGACCCACAGAGGTCCCTTCCAACCCCTACCATTCTATGATTCTGTGAGATATTCTGAGAAGCATCCCATTCAGAGGGAGGTACTGGGTGCAGCCCGTTGCCGACCAGAAGAGCTCAAAGGGCCTTTCTTTTTCCATTCCAAGCTGTTTCTAGGGTCTCAAGATGATTGACTTCAGGAATCAGTATTTTTCCATCCTGTTCACAGAATCACAGAATCACACTGGTCCACATGACGTAATCCCAACGTTTAGACAGTAACTATACGATTCCAGTACCACCCAGAATGTACAGTTCTGCAGGCATGTACAGCTCCAGGCATCAGTGGTTCCAGGTGCTGTCAAGAGGTACCTGATTGACCCAACTCACTATGCTTGCACAAAGAAAAGTGCCAAGTTGTACCAAATCACTGCACTTATAGAAGGACATGAAAAATGGCTAGTCACACCAGCTAACCATTCTTGCAGTGTAAGCAAGAATACAATGCTGATTAATTGTTGGGTGCCAGGTGTGATCAGTCACGCCAGCTAGCTATTCTTGCAGAGTAAGCAAGAACATAATGCTGGCTGGTTTTGGGATCGACAGGTGTGAGGGGGGAGCTGCACCACCACACAGGGGAAGTGGTTGAATCACCATCCCTGGAGGTATTTAAAAGATGTGTAGATGTGGCACTTAACAACATGGTTTAGTGGTGGACTTGGCAGCGTTAGGTTAACAGCTGGACTCCATGGTCTTAAGGGCCTTTTCCAACTTAAATAATTCTATTATTCCATGAGTTATTTCAGTAACCTTTGAGCTCACAGAATCTCTGTTACAGAAACCTGGTACTGCAGATGATCACTTTCTACATTTCAGTTTTGCAGAATAAGTCTTTATAAATCCTATCTTTTGAACAAAATTGAAGAAGTTCTTTTAAAAAACATCTTTAGAAAATATGCTTATTCTTTTATGAAGTCTCAGTTAAAGAATGCTGAAGTAGAAAACTTCATGAGGGTAGTGATACTTTTCATTCTTTTTGTTTACTTTTCTGGGCTAGAGACACACAACTTTTAGGAACCTGAAAATCACACATAAATAATTTTGTTCTATTCTGTGTGTGCTTGGAAGGTATTTTAATTAGCTCTGAGATTGAAAACTGCAATCACTAGAATGTTTTTGTTGAATTTCATTTCTATTACATCAGTCTTGATCCTCAATAGTAATCAGTGCTATCTGTTGAAAATGCAGGTAGTTGCACTCTCAGTTTACGTAGTCATATTTCATAACCTAAGAAGCTTATTCTAGAATGCCTTTAACAAGAAATAGAAAGTGGAAAGCTTATCACCTAGTCAAATTGTTTTTATGTCTGCAGCCAGAGCATTTCTCAAGTTCACAGTATTTTCAGGAAAACCTTGACATAATGTTATGCAATCAAATAAAGGACACAACATTCAAAAACAGTGCTTCACTTAGTAGTATTAGTATTTGTCTAAGGAGAAAAGTGAATACATTTTTTGTTTATGTTAAGCTTTGTAAATACTTCACTTGTTTCTTGTTTAGCTTTTGGAGGACGTTAAAAGTCAGTGAAGAGATTGCTGGTACTTACTTCTTTTTCTCTTACCTTCTTTCCTCAATTCCAATTTATTTTTATTCACAGCTCCCTGTGGAGGAAACTTGACTGGCTCATCAGGTTTTATACTTTCACCAAACTTCCCTCATCCTTATCCTCATAGCAGAGACTGTGACTGGACTATCACTGTTAATAATGATTATGTTATATCATTAGCATTTATCAGGTAAACTGCTACTTGCTCACAATTTTTGAAGTCTTGTTTGTAACTTTATTATTTGTTGTTTTCCAGAGCTTTGTAGGGTAACATACGTGTTCTTAATATAACCATCAAAGTGATTAGTAGTTGTTATCTTTGTTAGCAGTCCTAAGAAACACATTAGTGTAATCAATACACATAGAGGTCGAGCTTGGAAGCCCATTGCTCCTGTTCGATTAAAAGCACTCTCAGTTTACACCTACTGATGTGGAGGTGGATGGTGCTCAATTTACCAAGATTCTCTTCCTAGGCAGGAAACACTGAGCAACTCACTGAACTGTCGCCAACCCAGGAGGACGGTCTTAAATGATGAAGCCTATTGATACATAATATTTTGTATGAGACACTCACCTGCTGTTTAAGCAAAATTTCAAAAGTAGTATTTAAATTTAGTTTTATTAGTCCATGTCATCTCAGGATACTTCAACAGGATACTTCCTGTTGTACTGGCTATTAAATAGAATTGTTTTAGTATTTTCCACTGTCACAACACAAGATTAAACTGAGCTAAACAGAATCCACAGAGGAACTTTTGCTGACTGTATTGTATGTAACCCATGAAGTAAATTAATATATGTATTTTGTGTGCAAAATATGCATCCTAACTGGTGTATATGATCATGTCACAGAAAAGCTGAAAATTGTACTTGTAACATCACGTCAAATTTAAGTCCTTCTTACACTGTATGTTGTATAACAGTGACTTTATTGTTCTGATTAGTGATAATGTGATGACTCGTTTAGTTATGTAGGTCATATAATTGTCTTTTCTGTGTTCAGTGATAAAGTATGTGTTTTGAAAAATTTATTCCAAGCAAATTAATCATTCAGTTATATTTACGTAGTTAAAAATTTAACTGTTTTGTTGGTGATTTCACCATGCTGTAACTTGCTAAGCAACTTTCTACTGTGCAGTAGCACTTTTTTTTGTTGTTTGGTGAAATACCACAATCTCAAAATATTTAAGAATGTTCTGCTCTTTATATTGCACATTTAGATACGAGATCCTCCATCTTAGAACAAAAACAACATTTTACAGTGTGAATCAGTGTAGCATGTGAACAGTTTAGAGATCCCAAATATTGCCAAGTTGTTCTTAAAATCTGGATAATTGCTATGATCCTTGATAGAAGCTGACAACCTTAGTCTTGGTCAAAGTAGATTTCATATTTACTGAGACTTGACTCACAACACACAGACTGTTCCAGAGAGAGAAAAAAACCTTTCCTGTATAAATCAAACTCTGTACAGTTAAATGTGCTTTTGAGTGGGACTTACTCCAGCTAACCTTTTTAAACTCAAGACAAACTATGAAATTTAAAAATCAAATCTGTTGACATTTGACTTTTGCATTTCTTTTGTAAGAAAATATATTTTAAATAATCAAGAAGTTAAAAAATATTTCCCCTGAAGGAGCTGTATCAGATCTTCAATGTCTACAATTATTTTAATTGCCAGCTAATGTCACATAGATAACATAGGTCCAGTGGTTAGATTTTCATTCTTTTACTAACAATCTTTTTAAAACATTTTTGTACAGTGACAATCTTTAAGTGAATTTGTTTAACTCTCTGCCTCTAACTCAAATTAAGTTCAAAGTTAAACAATTAAGTTAGTTAATATACTATAGTCACATAATTAACTAAATTAACTAAGTCTTAAAGTTAACTAACATGAAGTTCAAAAGAAAATGAGAGGTTTCTATACTACATCTTTTCATTTAAACTGATTATAGGCAAAATGGTTCTTCCTCTCAGGGTTACAGGAAGATCATCCCCAGGTTGTGTGAAAGTGTTCAGTCTGATTGGAAGCTGTGTAGACTCTACTCTGCAGCTGACTGCTTTATATCATAAAGCATTTCTGCCAAGTGTTCAAGTACACCCAAGTTGTTTATTTCTCTAAAGCTTTAGAAATATTGCTATTCATTTTTCTCTGTTTAAAAGGTTTACCTTTTTTTTTCTGGATAGCAGCAAAATGTTGTTTCTAAGCAGAGAACAAATAAATACAGTATTTCTGTTATTTTCTAACAAAACAGTTCTAGAAACCATTGATCTGACAGTGCAGGTTTTTTCCTTTTATGAAAACAGTGATAGTAAACTTTTACTTCAGCTAATAAGAGTTGAAATATTAGGCAAAGCATACTCTATCTAATATTTCTCTTTCTTGTTCTACAGTTTCAGTATAGAACCAAATTATGATTTTCTTTATATCTATGATGGGCCAGATGGTAATAGCCCACTGATTGGGAGCTTTCAAGATAGCAAGCTGCCAGAGAGGATAGAAAGCAGTTCAAATACCATGCATCTGGCTTTTCGGAGTGATGGGTCTGTTAGTTTTACTGGATTCCACCTAGAGTACAAAGGTAAATAAAATTATTTTTGTTTTCTATTTAAAACATTCAATGCGTGGATGTAAATTTTAATCAGTTTTAATTTCTCATAGTTTTCTGCCTGGTAATGTTTTGCCTAAGAGTGTGATAGTGCATATTATCCATACCTAAAAATATAATACTATAAGGGTACTAACTTAAGATAAAGCTTCTAGATTATTTCCTTTAGCTGATACAGGATAATGTTAAATACACGATTCCAAAGAAAAAAAAAAAATTGAGACAGCAGTTTACAAGTTTCAAAAATAATGATGCGGTGATGAAACTTAACAGCATATATGCAATGAGTAAATGTAAATGTATGCAAGGGAAAGACTGATGCATTTGTTGCTTTGGCAAACTCACAGTCTTTTTACATTCCTAAAGTCAGTGACTTCTACAGATGTAAAGGAAGTTGTCTCCACAGTGTGACCTAATCCTAAGAAGTTAAAAGCAGATCTCTAACATTTTGATGGTGAACCTAGATGTATGTACTGTTCAATCTGATCTGGCCTTGTGTACAAATAGACCATAAACCAGCAGTGTGTCCTTGTGGTAAAGAAGGGCAGCAGCCTTCTGGGCTGAGAGTGGAAGACTGGAAGCAAGAGTGGAATCAGCACATCCAGGCAAAGGATTCTTCCCTCTGGATCTTCTCATATCATACCTGGAGTGCATTTAAGGTCTCACCAGAGCTGGAACGATTTTGACATACAGAATTCAGTGTAATGGAGAGTCACCAAGATGATTAGGAGGGTGGAGTATATAACATACAAAGACAAGCCGAGCGATCTGGATTTGCTGCAACTGCCTAATGAGTCTATAGAAAACACAGAGACAGACTCTTCTGAGGAGCACATAGTGTTAAAATGGGAGATAATGGGCACAAGTTGTAGCAAGAGCAATTTCAATTAGATACTGAGAAAAAACAAAAACCACTCTGAGGCTAGTCAAACATTGGAACAGATTGCCCTGAGAGCATGTCATTTGAATCCTTTCAAATTGTAACTGGACTGCACAAAGGTCTGAGCAACCTAATCAAATTGACCTTGCTTTGCATGGGAGTTGTGCTACATCTCTTCTAACCTAAATTGTTCTGATTCAAAGAACTTAAGTGTTTCACACAAATTGTAGCAGCTGCAGTCGTGTCCAATATATACACTAATCCTATATTAAGTGGCAGGAGTACCCAAGTTCTACTTTACTGGCAGGTCATATTTTTCAGATACAAATCTCAAATGTGATCCATGTCTTGGGATTCAATCTGCAATCATGTTTCTGGCTGGGTTTTGTTTTTCCTTTCACTTCTATTTTATAATGGAGTAACATCTTATTAGTTCTGATAACTGGCCTGGAGAACGGTTATGGAATGTTTGCTATGCTTAGGTATATCTGTAATATTCTTTCCAAGAAGCTTATTATGGCTTTGTGCTCTTGGATACTTAGGTATGGAGAAGTAAGTCATCAAGTTCTGGACAAAGCACCTGCTTCTTTTGGCTTCCAGTGTTGTTTTCCATGCACTGAGTTACTTGTCTAGATTCTAGAGGGTTTTGGCATCCTTGCCATATGTTAGCCAACAGAGACGTCCTTGCTGAACTTGAGATCGCAGCAGCACATATCATTACCTGTTTTCAGTCTGTCTTTCAGAAGCCTTAACTGATCCAGTGGTATGCCAAAGTTATCAGAGAAGTAATTGCTGTTTTTCTTGAAGATTGTTGCAAAATTTTATTATGGGCAAAAGTAATTTACACCCATTATGTGCAGCCAAGAATACGATGTTACTGTAACTCAAATCTTAACTGTCGAATGGAAAAATTATTTTTATTCCACATCTAATTATTACAGAAAAAGAACTTAAAAAATACTGCTACAGAAAAAGATCTTCGTAACAATACAGCTAAAATTGTAGCACACACACTTTCCAAAATTTTGTCTGATGTTCTGCTAAGCCTGCCACTGTCCTTCTGTGTTTTCAGCTTAGTGATACTAGTGTTCTTTGGAAAGAAAGGGGAAGGGCTACAGGGGTCACAAATGTCTTGAGTTCTTCAGTTCAAGCAATATGACATTGATGGTGAAGGATTTTTCCTCCTGTCTCCATGGAGCACTTCTGTTTAATTTTTATAAATTTGCTAGTACAGTCTTCTTATTTTATCTTTTTTTAACTAGTTCTCAGCTAAACCTGATGAATCCTTATGACGCCATTCTTCATATATTGTAGCATGGTATATTGACTTTCTTTACAAATTCATTTTTAGCAGCTACTTCAGATTTGCAAAAGTAGTTTGAAGGTGCTAAGTATTTCAGGCTTTGTTTTTCAGAATAGTGATTAAGAAACTGTATTTCTATAGTGACATTGTTACTGTTTAGTCAGCAACTTCAGGAGTCTGTCACAACTGTACCTTTGGAGAAAAGAAAATTACAGGGCTGTAATTTTTCCCTAGAGAAAATTTGTGCTGTGACAGATCATATCTTTCCTCAGTTTTTTATTTATGCACCAAACATGACAGATTACTTTATCTTCCTCTCTCTTTAATTTCTCATGTACTACTGATCTCTATCCAAAGATCTGCTAGAATTACGAAACATGGATTTCTTATCATAAACTCAAGAACTGTGATTTTAAAATATCAGTTCTGTATCAACACAAATATGAGTTGTTAGAGGAAAAAAATGTTTTCTTGCCATTGTCAAAATGTTATTTATAATCCTAAATTAAATGATATTTTATTTTTCTTTTTTAAATAATAATTATTAATATCTCTGTGATGTCTTACAGAATTTCTAGTAAACTGCATCTTTTAACTTTTGATTGTACACCCTAATTTTTGAATATGAGGGTTACAAAGGTTTTAGGCTTTCTTTATTTACTGTCACATCATATTTTTAAGCCTCACCATGGAGAACAGAAGACGGATGTTACATCACCATACTACAACTACCTAAATGAATCAATGTGGATATCAGATACATGTTCTTAATAATTAACTATGCGATGTAACTATTAGTTTTTATTGTACTATTTTTCATATCAGAAGCATGGTTTGTAGATTGGATATGCAAATCCTAATAAATTGTTAACCACACTAGGAGATCTTCATATTCTTTTGGAATATGTGAAGATGAAACTTCAAAAGAATTATTCTGTGTTTCCATCTTCAAATGTAAATGTACTTTTATGGTTTTGCAATGTAATTCTTTCTCTCCTCTCAGAAATATTACAACATAAAAATATCCTTAGGGGGTCAAAAAAACAATTCATTTAGTTCATTAGTTTGTGTCTAGTAGTGACTAATAGCTGATAAGTGGGGAAACTACATAAGAGTCATATCTGTAATCATTTCTCTCTACTATCTGTAAGTAACTACCTGTAGCAGAAAGCTTCAGTGCAAATGTGCCCAGTAAAAAAAAAAACCTCTTTTGATGTAATAGAAAGTTGGCACTGATCTTGCAGAAACTGAATAAGTGTTCCTTATTGATATTGTCCACAAGACCCTTAAATGATAATGAAGAAAGTCTGAAATTTCTATCTTCTGTTTGATAAAATAAATTACTCCAAACTCCATCCTGCATAGCACAAAATCATTTGTTGCATTCCAGCACCTACCATTTTCTAGTAAGTATATTGGCTGTTCCTTCAAAGAAAAACATTGCAAATTTTTCCAAAATGTTTACCTTTTCTCTCTTCTGCATAGTAAATTTTTTGATTAAAAGTGCCAAGTGGTTATTTTTGTGCAGTTTGTTATGTCCTGGTTATTAAACACACTGGTATTCAAATTATAGCAGGAAGAGGGAAACAAAAATAAGAGCATATGCATATGTTCGAATTTATTTAAATATTTTGAAAGATATAGCTGTAAATAACAAAAACGGAGGTAAATTTAAGGAATATTTTCATGAGCTGTCCTCCAGTAAGGAAAAAAGCTATATAAAAATATATCAGTAGGTTATATGAGCAGATACAGATGTTCATTTGAGGTTTATTAATTCTGAAGAAATTCTTGTTTGCATGCTTTTTCTTTTGTGACAAACTATTTATATTTTTTTCCTCCACTTACCAGCTTTCAGACCACTGATTTTAAAACTAGGATGTTTCTTATCTACTGGAGTAGCATCCATAGATGTAACTTCATCTAACTATGTAGCTACATCATCTGTCACAATGAACTCTGGAAAAACAGTTCTTGTAATGGAGCTCTATAGCAATTATCTAGGAAAAATATAGGAGATGTGGTTTTGGTCATTATAGAGTCATATGTACAGTCTTTAAAATTAAGGAAAGAGAACATTTGTTGTAGAATCGAAGAATTCTTATTTAAAAAAAAAAAAAAAAGAAAAAGAGGAACATTATGTCTTTACATGGTGCTCAAAGCAGACCTTGTGAGAACTCCAGAAAATATTTGTAACTTTTTAGATTATATTCGGAGTTATGTTTGCATTTGTTTCCTCTATAGCAAAACTTCGTGAGTCTTGCTTTGATCCTGGGAATATAATGAATGGAACAAGACTTGGAATGGATTATAAACTGGGGTCAACTGTCACATATTACTGCGATGCAGGTTATGTTCTTCAAGGATATTCTACACTAACATGTATCATGGGAGATGATGGAAGACCTGGATGGAACAGAGCCCTGCCCAGTTGTCATGGTAGGAGCATTTTTTCATTTATTGTAGTTGCTGTTATTATTATTCTTGCTTTGTCATATGGAAGAAACCGTTGCAAAATTAGAAGAAGCAAATTTAATAAACTTTTTTTTAGGACAAAGCCCTTTTCAATCATATATTTAATAAAAATAGGATATTTAATTACTCATGATAAATGTTGTTTAAAGTTTTTAGTAACGTTGGATAAACAGTGCTACAAGTCACTATTGTGAATCGAGTTTAATAATAACATTGCCCTCTGTGCCACCCGGTATTCTTGAATTAGCAAATTTCAGTAAAATAAATAAATATAAATATATAAAAATGTATATAAAACATTACACAATTTAACATGTTGAACATGTGGTCTCTAGAAAAATTCAGCCTTGAAATGCTGATCCAGTCACTCAAACTTTTATGTATATGAAGAACTCCACTCAGTTTGGGAATCTCCTGACTTTAGTTATATTATCACTGATTATCTCAAGAATAAACATTTTCAGATATAAACTTTAAGAAAAGATTCAATTTTTTTTTTACTGATTCAGTAAAATTACAAGAAATTGACAGCCGCTTCAGAAAAATATCCAATATTTTCACATATTCTGTGAGATTAAGCACAGAACCTCTCTCATGTATCCAGAAATTTATAAACAACCTAAAAATGTCAAATTATGAGATTAATATTTTCTTTATAAATTAAAATCTCTTCATCATCATGTTAATTTCAATTTCTTTTCATAATTTGAAAACAAAAATGCTGTTAAATTAATTTCCAGTTTGAGTATATTTATTTTAAATAGAATACGGATTTTCTTTGCACTTGAATTTCTTTTGCAAATTAGATGGTGGCTTACAAGCAAAACAGAAAAAAAATTGTCAGCTCTAAAGAATAACCAATATTATAAGCATTTGAAGAACTTCAGTATTTTCATTATCCACTAAAACCATCCTGACACTGAGCACCAAACTTCGATAGCATCAGACTGGAAAACTGACCCTAGCAAATTTTTGGAAATGTGTTCCAATTTGTAGACTATGTGAAATGGAAATCAAAAGTTTCTTCCTTGTTTTAAACTGAGATCTGAATTTTATTTTCAAGAATGGAGTCAGTGAGGAAGGCTGTTGTGTTTAAGAGGAGAAACGTTTCTTTCTTTCGGAAGGTCTTTTTCATGGGTAATGAAAGACAAAGAGTTTCTTTGTGTCTATTTGTGCCACTTATAAACTAGTTAGCAACCTTCCAATGCCATCTATTTTAACTTTCATTAAAGGGAGAGTGCTTTTCTTGGAAGGCTTGCCATTTTAATAAAAGAAAAGAAATCTTATAAAAGAGGTATTGGGTATCTGACACTGATTCTGTCTGGATCATTTTCTTTCCTGGATGAACAAGGCAATATTTCAAAGATGACAAACCCACACTTCTTCATGATATGATGTCACAGAGTAGGCTCCATAAAAATGCCTTAGCTTTGCAGTTTTCACTTGTTTTTCTTGTATTGCTTTTTCTTCCGGTTCAGAGTCAGTGAAGGTTTGCAGATATGTTACTGTGACATACTATGCTACATTTTTACGAGGTAATCAATGCTTTCCAATTTTGCATGTTTAGCTCAAGAAAAACAGAACATTTATATAGCTGTGAAAAAGGTATCATTTGATTAGCTTTCAATTACATCGAACTGGCAGAAACAGTTTGAGGGCTGATTTTTGCCTCCCGACCACCAGTCTCACCTACGTAAAAAATTTGCTTAGTAGAGAAATGAGATTCCTCCATTCTGCCAGTCATATTTTCGAAACTCTATATAAACTGATACAGTTATAATGAAATGGGACATGCAATACACCTCAGTATATATGTATTTTTTTAATCTTCTTATTTATTTTTAAGAAAAAAAAATAATTGAGAACCTGAACCTCTTTTACACCTGTAATATTTTGATCTAATGCTTTAGGTATGAAGTAAACATTTTTTAAAAGTTACGTATCATTCTTTACAAATTTTTACATTTTTAATATCAATTTGGAATCCAGGTTCTTCTGTAAAATTCCTTTGAGACATATCTAGTCATATAGCTTTGTAGAGGAAGTGAGGCATCTCAGAATATGGAAAAGAGAAATATTGTGAATGAGTATTCTCGTTTTACTTATGTTTGGAGCTACATAGTTCAGAGGAGAGGAAGGGAAAACTTTCAACACTCCAAATGGCTCTCTGGGCTTAAGGGACATTCTTTACAATGTATAGAATTAGTCTTATAAAGAGTATAATTCAAAGAATGAAAGAAATTTTTTTTCTCTTGTAAGAGAATTTGGGTCAGTAGCATTTATCATTTCCATGAATAAAATGACTAGATAAATAACTTCTATATTATGAGGGTGAAACTGATACAGGATTCCAAAGTCAGACCCTATTAAGTAAAATCTCTTCTTGTTGTAATTAATATGGATATTTTCACTAAATAGAATCTCAGTAGAGGAGGATAGTAGTACCATCTCTGTACCCATTCTGAATAACTTGACATAACTTAAGGCATACTCCTGAGAGACAGTAGATGAGTTTGAACGGCCCACATAGAGAAAGAAGTTATAGCTCTTACTTGCTTTAAAGTCTAACCTTTTAGATAAAATGTGGTCACAATACTTTCTCCTTTCAGAATTAAAAAGAAAATTAAGGCCATAGCTCTATAATATTGGAAGGGCAACCTTTTGGAATGGCTTTAAGCATTCTCCGAAAATGTCTTAAGATATCCAGCCCCATAGGAAATCCGTGTTGAGGAACACTGGTGTTCTGGGTCTCATCAAGCTTCAGCATGAACTGGCTGATGAATTGCTCAGTCTGTCAAAACTTGTTTTTCTGGGAATGTGCAAAACTAGAAAATGCAGGTATCTACAAACCCTGAAAGTCAATAACTGGTGATTTTGGAGTGAGATAAAAGCTGAGCAGAGGCTTTCAGTATCACAGAAGGCTAGTTTTCCAAAATCTATTCAGTTCATAAAGCTGGTGTTTTTGCCACTGTACCTTTATGCACCAAATATTTTTTATGGCGTAGTCCTATGTGCATTACGCATGACTTGAATTTGGTAGAAATCATTATTTCAAATGACCTTGAGCCACTCTAGTAAGTATGGGAAGTGAATAAAATTATTGGCTTCATTCTTTTATGAACACATGCAAAGATTATCCAGGCTAATATGCTAAGCTATTTGGCATTTCATGGTGGATGTTAAGAACAGGATGTAATTAACATATGCAGATGAAATATTACTATGACTGAGATGGCTATTAATGATTTCTCTTAGCTTCACCAGCTACAGTTAATTTTAAATTTTTGGTAGCAAACAACATTTTCTTAAAAATTAACAAGAAAACCTGTAGTGGGAAATCATATTTGTGACTGAGCACAAAAACCTTGTTCCTGCGAGAAGAAATAATTTATTGATCACTAAAAAATATTGCTACATTTCATTATAGTCTGTTGATTAATCCTTGGAAATATTTGAATCCAGGCTTCAAAATACGTGTATCTGAAAGATATATCTAACAATCTCAGTTATTGTCATTGTTATGGTTTGGCTGCAGCCGGCAACAAAAGTGCCACGCGGCTGCCCCTCCTCCCCCCAGGGTGCAGAGGAGAATGGAAAGAAAGAGGCAGAAACTGGTGGGTCGGGATAAGGGCAGTTTAACAGAACAGCAAATAAAGGGAACAGTAACAACAACGATACAGATAAGGGGAAAACACAACACAAACCGCACAACCCAGAAAGCCGCCCTCCACGACCGCCGTGAGCTCCCGAGCTGCGAGTGAGCTCCTGCCGCCCAGCTCCCCCCCACCGGAACCCAGCATGACGGCACATGGTATGGAATACCCTGCTCTCTTTGGCCAGGTTGGGTCAGCCCGTCCGGCTATGTCCCTTCCTGGATTGCAGTGAAAATTAAGCCTGTCCTGGCCAAACCCAGGACAGTCATGAACTGCCTATGATTTATTTGCTTTTTTTTGGTAACAAAACATCAATATTCAGAATATCCATACGTACTGTTTATCTTTTGTTTCAAAGAAAATCAAAGAAGCCCTGGAATTGCTGTCAGAGCAATTCCATATCGTAATATTTAAAAGCAATAGAAACATTCTTAATTATGGTTACAACAAAAAATCTTAATTCCTAGTCTTATGTACACAATGACATACTATAGCCATGGTGGTTTAGTGATTAAAGACAATGCTAAAAACCAGATGTATATGCATTATGAGAAAGGAGAGGGGACTTTGAACTTCATGTCCACTCCTCCGTCATATGATCTGGGGGATAATTCACATTATTAGGAGCTGGGAAAAGGGATGCCTGCAGCCTCATCTTCTCCTAAAGAAATGTTTTCCTGAAAACTGAAATGTCAGAGGAAGTATCTGTTCTTTGTTTTGGCTGTGATAGTAACTCTTGGTTTAATTTGCAGTAATTCATACTTTTCTTAATGTTATTTTTTTGTTTCCATCCATCTATATTAACACGTCACAGCTATTTGACATAGCTCAGGTCAGGTTTACATCTAAAATCTTCTTGTATGGAAGACTGCACAGAAAAGTTTAATCTTACTATTTATTATTTTGTAATATATTGAATTTTAGACAGCTTTTTCATGAATTGTTCAATATTGATAACTTGATCAGAGTTTTTATAGATAACATTTTTATGCACTTCTTACATAGTGAAACTATGATTCTAATGTGGTTATTGCATACTGATGTGGTCTTTCGAAACCATGATTTTAATGAGCCAATTTTTTACGTGATAAAACATAGTCAGATAGTGTGCTACTATAAATTGCAATAAAAAATGAATATAATAATTTCCACCATTATTGACCGTATTGAAAGAATTTAGACTGTTCTTCTCACAGGCAAACGTGTAAGTCTGGAAGATAAAAGACTAAGGCACATTAGGCTAAAATACTTTCCTGGGTGATTTTTATTTCGGATAGGTAGGTAAAGACAAGGTGGAATTTCTAGGTAATC